AGTAAGCTTTAAAAAGACATAGAAACCATAAAAAAGAACCAGTCAGAAGTGAAGAATACAATAATTGAAATGAAGAATGTACTAGAAAGAATCACTAGCAGACTAGATGAAGCAGAGGATCAAATCAATGATTTGGAAGACAAGGTAGCAGAAGACACCCAATTGGAATAACAAAAAGACAAAAAGAGTCCCCCCAAAAGGAGGATAGTTTAAGAGACCTCTGGGACAACATCAAGTGTAACAACACTCGCATCATAGGGGTACCAGAAGGAGAAGAGAGAAAGCAAGGGATTGAGTATCTATTTGAAGAAATAATGACTGTAAACTTTCCTAACCTGGTGAAGGAAATAGACATACAAGTCCAGGAAGTGCAGAGCGTCCCAAACAACAGGAACCCAAACAGACCCACACCTAGACACATTATAATTAGAATGGCAAAGGTTAAAGACAAAGAATCCTAAAAGCATCAAGAGAAAGCCAACTAGTGGCGGGCCAAGTGGCTCATTTAATTAAGATTTGGTTTAAGAGCACAAGCTCTGAGCAACAGGGCCCCCAGTTCGATTCCCACATGGGCCAGTGACACTGCGCTCAAGCTGAGCTGTCACTGAACTGCTAACAGGTGGCAGGATGGCTTAGCTGGTGTAACAACAAGACTCCCTGTTCAATGGTGGGCTGTGCCCACCCGCAACTAAGACTGAACTTGGCACCTTGAGCTGAGCTGCCTCCTGGATGGCTCAGTGGATAGAGCATGCGCTCTTAACAACATGACTGCTTGTTCGACTCCCACATGGGATGGTGGCTACACCCACCCACAACTAAGATTGAACAGAGCACCTTGAGCTTAGAGGCCAAGAGCTGCTGATGGGAAGCCAGATGGCGACTGGCACCCTCCACAACAAAGATTGAAGAACAACTTGGCTGGTCCCCTTCCCCAATTCCCCAACACTGTTCCCCTCTCCCAATTCCCCAATACAATCTTTAAAAAAAAGAGAAAGGGAACTAGTAACTTATAAAGGCGCTCCCACAAGACTGTCAGCTGATTTCTCAACAGAAACTTTGCAGAAGGAATTGGCATGAAATATTCAACATGATGAAAAATAAGGACCTACAACCAAGATTACTCTACCCAGCAAGGCTATCATTTAGAATCAAAGGACAGATAAAGTGCTTCCCAGACAAGAAAAAGCTAAAGGAATTCATCACCACAAAACCAGTATTGAAAGAAATGTTAGAGGGACTTCTTGAAGAAGAAGGAAAAATAAAAAGATAAAAAATATGAATAATAGAATGGCAGTGACTACGTATCTATCAAAAATTATTTTCAATGTAAATGGATTAAATGCTCCACTCAAAAGACATAGGAAGGGCTCAATGGATAAGAAAACAAGCCCCTTACATATACTGCCTATAAGAGACTCACTTCAGATCAAAAGACACACACAGACTGAAAGTAAAAGAATAGAAAAAGATATTTCATGAAAATGGAAATGAAGAAAACAAAACAAAACAAAAGCTGGGGTAGAAATACTTATACGAGACAAAATAGACTTTAAAACAAAGGCTACAACAGGAGACAAAGAAGGATCCAGTAATCCCACTTCAGGGTATTTATCTGAAGAAACCCAAATGCTACTTTGAAGGGACATGCACATCTATATATTCGTTGCAGCATTGTTTACAGTGGCCAAGATGGGAGGCAGCCTGGGTGTCCTACAGTGGATGAATGGCTAAAGAGTAGGTGGTACATATATACAATGGAATATTGCTTGGCCAGGGAAGGGAATGGGTTCTTGCCATCTGCAGCTGCATGGATGGACCTGGAGGGAATTGTGCTGAGTGCAGTGTCAGACAGAGAAAGACAAATGCAATGAGATTTTGCTTATATGTGGAATCTGAAGAATAAAATAAATAAACAAACAGAAACAAACTCATAGATACAGAGAACATTTTGATGGCTGCCAGATGGGAGGGGGGTTGGGAATGGGTGAAAAAGGGGATGGGATTAAGAAGTACAAATTTGTTGTTACAAAGTAGCTATGGGGATGTAGGGTAGAGCATAAGGGATATAGTCAATAATATTGTAATAACTAAGGGATATAGTCAATAATATTGTAATAAATATGGTGTCAGATGGGTACTAGATTTATTGGGATGGTAGATGGGAGGGGGATTGGAAATGTAGTCATGGAGATGTAAAGTAAAGCATAGGGAATATAGTCAAGAATATGGGAATAACTATGCATAGTGCCAGGTGGGTCCTGGACTGGTCAGGGTGATCACTTCTTGAATTGTATAAATGGCTAGCTATTGTGCACCTGAAATTAATATAAAGTAATACTGAATGTCAGCTGTAAATGAAAAGTTGAAAAAGGGGAAGGAAAGGTGAAGGAGAGTAGGAGGTTCAAATTTCCAGGTATAAAACAAATGAGTCATGGGGATGTAATATAGCACAGGGAATATGGTCAACAATATTGTGTTAGCGTGGTACAGTGTCAGATGGTAGCTGGACCTCTCATGGTGATCACTTCTTTAGGTATACACATATTATGTTGTGTAACTATGGTGTACCCCTGAAATTAATACAATATTGTATGTCAGCTATATTTTAATACAAATCTTTTAAAAATTATTGTTATATTTTTCTTACACTTTATTTTTCAATTTTGTTTTATTATTAATTACTACTAGTTGTCCTTGTTAACTAGCCTCATTGTGGTTTTGTTTAAATAGCAGTTATGTAACAGAAAAGTAAATAATACAGAATAATATATAACTTAAAATTAATACTTATTTTTCACATTTTATATTAAATAACACATATATGTGTAATTATTTATTATACATTATATTATTATTAACTTTTTTTTTCTGGTATGATTGTTTCCTGGGTTGGTGCTCTAAAAAGTTGGTCACCTTACCAATCTTACCTCATGAAAAAGTAGGCATTAACTTTTTGTTAAAAGTCAGACAACTGTTAGATGAAAAAATGCTGTCTTTGTTAAATGCACATGTCTCTGATAGTAAAAAGACTAACCATTTTTAACATGTTCATTGCCCACATTTCTTCCTTTGGAAACAGCCTGTTTGTTAATACTTGTCAAAATTTCTTTTGGCTTCTTTCTGTCTTTTTCTCTTCAGTTTATAAATCTTCTTTAAGACCATAACTCTATGTCTATCCTATGTTATCAAAACACAATTTGTTGCCTCTCTTTCCATATTTTGTGAGGTTTAGGGACATACTTTAGAAATCTTTGTTTTCTGAACTACCTGTTTTTATTTTTTCCTTAAAGAAGCAGTTTGGGCAGGGTTAAGCTCTGGCATTACAGACCCAAGTTTGAGTCCTAGCTCCACCCATATGGATATGACCTTGAGCAAGTTTCTCCATACTTTTCCCATTACTGATGACTCCTTTCTTTGCTTGAGATCAGCTAAGTATTCACTTTTTTTTTCTCTAGTTTTTCAAGTTTTTACATGCAAGCCTTTAATTTGTCTGGAATTTATACAGGCGAATGATGGCTACATCATTCTATATTTCCACCAATGTTTTACTTTCCTCCCAGAGACCATGCAAAAGAGCGAGACTGGTGCAGCTGTCCCCACTCTGTTCCGGATCTTGTTCAGCTGCCTCTGAGTCACGCTGTGGCATTGGGAGGGTTTTATTGCTCCTGGCTTTCTAGTGGGTAGAACAGCTTCCAGATTGGGTCCCAGCTTAAAAAAAAAAAAAAAAAAGTCTCCCTTGGTGGCATAGAAAAATGAACTGTAAGATAACTTCCTATTGCAGAGCCCCTGTGTTGCAGCTGTCTTGGGTTTCTCTTTAACCATTTCATGCCCAGTGTCTAGAAGGTTAAAAAATATGTGTCATCCACTGTAGCCTGGGTTATTTGCTCTGCCCGTCTCTTCCTTCCAGTATCAGGAATTTGGTGTGCCCCACCCTCATGCTTCCTGCCTAAGTGACACCTTCTAGATCTGAATCTGGGGTGACTCAGAATGGTCCTGTTCTCTCCCCAACTAGGCTCAGGCCCCACCCACCTGCAGCTGCAACAGGTGACAACTTCCCTGGGAAAACAGGATCTTAATTACCTGCCCAGTATCAAAGGAGAAATTCCATGAATATGTTTTCCACTGTAACAGCATGCAGTTGGCCATCTGTATCTGCAGGTTCTGCATCTGTGGATTCAACTAACCTCAGATCAAAAGTGAGTTGAATTGGGGGGCTGGCCGGCAGGTTTGCTCAGTTGGTTAGAACACAGTGCTCACAACAGCAGGGTTGCAGGTTCGATTCCCACATGGACCGCTGAGTTGTGCCCTCCACAACTAAATGGAAACAACTACTCGACTTGGAGCTGATGGGTCCTGGAAAAACACACTGTCCCCTCACCCCCCCACTCCCCCCAAAAAAGTTAGTTGAATCAGATCCAGAGGACCAATTAAGGGACTAGAGCATCCTTGGATTTTGGTATCTGGGGATCTTGGAACAAATATCCCTTGGATACTGAGAGATGATTGTAATTATCTTCAAATAAATTCTAACCTTCTGGAAACGCAGATTCCAGATTGCCGTACTCACTTTTCGATTCCTTATCAGGCGAGTACCTTGCACTGATTTATATATACAATCAAATACTGGTTAGAATAATTATATTTGGTAAAAAAGAAATTATCGATAATGAATAAAAGGAGGAGAGTGTCTTTCATGGCAAAGATTCATTCCTCCCCAAGTATATTTCTGGGAGATTTCTTTTATTTTTTTCCAAGTGTAACTTTATCCAGTATTTCTCAGACAGGTTTTTTGCTCCTTCTCCAGAGAGCATCCTGGTGAAAAAAGTCAGTTGCTTCTCCTTAGGCTTGGAGCCCTGGGCAAAATAGTTTATCTCTAGCTTACTCTACCCTTTCTCCTGTGGTTTCAAAATATCCCTTTAAATTCTGAATCAGATTTGTTGATGAGCTGTGAAAACCTCTGAGTTTCAGGAAGTAGACTGCAGCAACCATAGATCTGACTAATCTAACCCCTCGGGCATGGGTCGCACGAGCAGTCGATGTGTTTGTACCACAGCCTATGAATATTTTATGGCTGTGCTTTTGTGCTCACTAATGGAGCCTGAACTGTACAATCTGCCTTGAATAATACCAAAAGAGCACCCTCTCCCGACCTCTGTCCCTAAATGATTTATGGAGATGAAGTAGGCCTATCAGAGATTCATTATTGATGTTGTTCTTTAGAGACACTTTTCAACAAAAGAGTAAGTGAATTTATATTCCTACAGATAGTGGACACTTTGGGGGAGTTTAGCGTGAAATCTGTGTGTTTTGGGAGGGATTTTTAGTTCTGGATCTTCAGAGATTGGAAGGGGTTTAAATTTCCTCAGTAAAGAGGGTAAAGTGATGCTTTAAAGATCTCCTACTATCCCACTACTGCTCAGGCTTGTTTTATTCCTGGAATTCGTTGTTGTTCTAGATTATCAGCCCTTCTCTTGTCTCCTTGCTCTTCCATCTCTGTGCCTTTTGAATTGGAACAATTCAGTCACCTGGTATAGATCCTGTCGGCTGGCTGTGTGCTGTCACTCTGAGCGATACCAAAGGCGAGAAGACATCACCGTGCTGCCGAGTCCTCAGCCTGATTGGAGAAGACAAGACCCACATACGTTATTTAAGCCAGCTTGTAACCTGATGCTAATACGGTACGATGTTAGAAAAGTTTCCAGAAGGGAAACAGTAATGTGTGTAGGATTATTGAAGGATGACTTTCTGGAGAAAATGGGGCCTGAATGGTTAGATTTTAATTGGCAGAGGGAAGGCATCTTATGAGAGGTAGCAACTTAAGTGAAATAAGTCAGTCAGAGAAAAACAGATACCATATGATCTTACTTATATGTGGAATCTAAAAAACTGAATAAATGAGAAATGTAAACAGAAATAGTCTCAGAGACACAGAGGAAAAACTGAGGGTTGCTAGTTGGGAGGGGGTGGGGATGAAGGAGAAGGGGAAGGGATGAGACAACACAAATTGGTAACTACAATATGGCCTCAGGGATAGAAAAGACAGTCTGGGGAATATAATCAATAATGTTGTAAATATTTTTTAGGGGGCCAGATGGACTCATGTCTTGTTAGGGAGACCACTTCATAGACAGTGTAGAGGCCTGACCACTGCACTGTAGTTCTGAAGCAGATGTTGAATAATATTGTATGTCAACTATAATTATATATACATATAATCACGGGATGTGGAGTAGAGCATGGGAATGGAGTCAATGGAATTGTAATAGATAAATATGATATCAGGGGTAGGAGGGCAGTGGACAGCGGAAGGGGGTTGTTACTTTGTGAGGGGTGAAAAGGATAACTATGGCATTGTTCTGTACACCTGAAACTAATAATTAAAAAAAAAAAAAGAAAGGTAGCAACTTGAGTGAGAGGAGCCAAAGCAGAAGTGTGGGGTGAGACACACAGCAGCAAACAGGAGAGAGCAGAAAAGGGGTGAGGCAGAGGGAGGGCATGCCACCTTCCATAATAAAGTAAAACCCAGGGCTGCTGGGTTAGTGTGAAGAGAAGACTTTCCTGGAAGTGAACCCAAGAACATCAAATCTATAATTGTGATTTGACTCTTGTTGTGGTCTTTCCCCAGGCCCCACCACCTTCACCACATTGGCCTCAGAAGTCGACTTCTTCCCTTTTAGATCTCTGCCCAAAAGCCCCTTCCGTTGCTTCCCTTAGCACAGGTCAAATCAACTTAAATTTAAGAAAATTTCACTACACTAAAAATTTCACTACAAAGAGAGAACAAAAAGGAAACTGATTCATAAATAATCATGTTTACAAGGTATACCTTGCTCTCTGGGGCTCATCAATCATACCTCATTCCAAATGGGATCCCAGGAAAAGAGGGCCTTGCCTGGGTCCACCCTACTAGCACGTTTCAGGGGGCATCTTTAACCTCCATCACCCAAGAGGACTCCTCTAAGCATCTAAATTTCTCAAAGCCTAAGCCAAGTCCATTCAGCTTCCTGAGCTCCCAAAGCTGTGGCTCTACTCTTTCAGGAGAAACGTAATTCTATGACACCAGAGTGAGTCCCATACACAGGATGTACGGATACTTTCTGCTCAGAGGTATATTTTGGGGAGCAGTCATGCCGAGGCTTTGAAAGCAAGGACTTTGGAAGGTTTAGAATAGGATGGTGGCAATAGGGATGGAACAAACAGGTACAAGACACATGGATTTTGACTTCAAGGAACCCACATGAGTGTTTTGCAATCTATGCTCCTGCATCTATGATGCAGACTAGTATTTCACTCCTTGTCTTCTTTTTATCGAGCCTACTTTCCCTATCTCTGGCTGCCTACTCCATCTATTGGCTCCTCTTCGCTCCCAAGCTCTGGAATTGGGTGGCGTATCCTTAGCTTTGCCTTTTGTGTGCTCTCCCAAGCCAGGCATACTGAACCTCCTCATTTCTAGGGCATTGTTTTTAGAGGGGATTCCCACACAGTCGTGAGAAACAAACAGGCAGCCAAACAACTTGAAGAAGTTGCAAAATTTCCAGAAATCTAACCTAACTTCTTAGTCCTTAAGGACCGTCACCACATCTTTTTTAGCTTTGTATCCCAAGCACCTAACACCATAGTGCCAGGCACATGGTAGGGAAGTGTGTTGACTAAGAATAAAATTAATTAAAACGGAGCACAGAGTGATGTCATAGAAAGCAAGGGAATCAAAAGCTGCCAGAAGGCGATGGTCAACACACCAAATATCATGAAGAAATCAAGTAAAAAGAGGACTGAAAGACACACTACTGGATTTGCAATTAGAAGGTCAATGGTATACTTTGCTAGGACGGTTTTACTGGAAGGGTGAAGGTAGATGAACGTGGGATTGAATTCATAGTTGGTTGAGTAATGAATGATAGGTGAGGAAGGGAAGGCAGTGAGTGTGATTATTATTTGCAGTTCGGCCATGGTAGATGCAGAGAGACTGGTAACTAAAAGTGAGGGAAAGTTGTCCTTGTTTCTTTTCTTTAAGTTTAACTTCTGCTCTTGTTGTTCCACGGGAGACTCTCAGCTGAGGGACAGGGGCTAACGGAGAAGGAAAAGTTGTATGGGTTAGATAGGGAGTGACTAACAGAACGATATTGCCACAGAGGTGGCTGGGTGAAAGAGCATGGACCAGAGGCCTTAGCCTTGAGCTGAAGACGCACAGCTACCTCTCTAACTGGAGGGGAGAAGTTGATGATATACATGGTCATAGATAAAATTGTGGCACAGGAAGTTTAGGGGATTTTCACCTGAGAGCACTGATGTTTGCAGTGATGTAGGAGCAGCGTGATTTTGGAGTGGCCCCGTTGTATTGGAGCTTGAAGAGAGTGGTGAAGATGGTAAAGGCTGCGGGAGCAGGAATAGGGGTTTCAAGGGTTACTGAGGGCCACACTGAGATCAGAGATCACAAATTTGTAAGGGTACCAGCGCGCCTGGATATATGGCTTCCTCCATCTGGGTTCCTGGCCAACATGGGCATACGAAAGAAGGGAAATCATCTAAGTTTCGTGATTCACAGGGCATGAGTGGTGTTGAAAACACAGTCAAGAGGGAGGTTTAGGCTGAAGATGTAAGGAAATGAACTCCTGAGGGAGCTTGGGTGTGAGAAAAGGGGTAAGTTGAGGAACTGGAGGCTTAAGAATAGTGTGTTGGTACTTGGGCTTAAGAGAGTGAGTCAGGTTGGATGAGGTTGAGGTTATGGATGAGAGTCACAGACTTTCATAGGTGAAGCAGTCTTAGATGCACATGAGGCCCTACCAGTGGGTGCTTAATGTGGATTATCAATAAAAGCAGCGGGACCCCAGCAAAACACCAGGTACTGTAGTGAAGAGGCAGGTTTGGGGATAGTAATGGTCTGACAGTCCAGGCAAAGCACACAGGGGGACCCAGGATTTGCACTGAGGAACCCCTTACTCAGGCCAGTGTGCAAAGATAACTTGCCTCATTAAGATTCAGTTGTCCATCTGTCAAAGGCTGTAACAATAGTACCAACCTCATGGGATTGTCGTGAAAATTAAATGAAATCATATATATGGGGGGGGGCTGGGCACAATGCCTGGCACTTACATAATAAACATTTGATCAATAATAGCTATAGACGACTGCTATTACTGTGACCTAGGCTTCCACTAAGAATTCACAATATAGGAAAGATAACGCTAACGCTAACATGAAAAATAACGTCAGACAACCGACACATAGAGGCATGGCCTTCTTTGTGGAAACAGCATAGATTTCTTTTTTTTTTAATCTAACACATTTGTGCTTGTATTCCAACTCTGTGGCTTACTCACTGCATGACTTGAGGCAAGTCGTTTAATTGATCTCTCTGAGGCGAATCATAGTGCTTGTTAATATCTTCATTTCCGAAAACATACAAAGTGCCTGCCTACTAAGTACCAGGAAAGTACTAGGTGTCGGAGATAAAGGGGCTTGAAAAAGATGTTCTCCTTGTGTTCACAGCATAGATGGGGAGATAGGAAGAGACAATTAAAATTAGGAAAACTAGGAGGTCCGCCAAAGCTTATTCTCAGACAAGCAGGTAAATACTGATTTATGCTGGAGAGGTCTTCGGCCCTGATGAAGTGATTAGCGCATCCCTCCTTTTTTAAAAAAATAGGACCTAGTACACAGTTCCCACTTTTTAAAAATAATGAGGTTTTAGAAACTATTTTGGAAGGTAGAATAATGGGGTCAAATTCCTATGGGCGGAGCAATCTGCATGTAGATACCGCCTATCATGAAAGATTGTAGAGTGGGAGATCACAGTAGCAACACAGTGGCACTTTGGGAAGTGGTTCAGGTCCTCAGTCTCCCCATCTGTAATATAGGGATAATAATAGTCACCACTTCATAGAGTTAGTGTGAGGATTAAGTAAATTCATGTAAAATGTTTAAGACAGTGTCTAGCACATAGTGATTGTTCAATATATGTTCGCTATCATGATTCTGTAAATCGTGATCTTATGAAAATAGGGCAAAATGTCTCCCTCAGCCTGTGCAGGGACCATCAGAAACTGATGAATGAGTGGATCAAAGCAACAAAAAATAAATTAGAAATCAGTTTTAGAATAAGTAGATTTGCAAATGTCAGAACAAAAAAAAAAGAGAAAGAGAAACTTCTTGTCAACACAGCTAAATTTCAGTGTTAAACAGATCTACTGCCATGTCTTGAATGTAATGTGTTGTCAGAAAAATCATGAATCATTTTTGCAACTAAAAACATAGAAAAAATACGTCATGACTTTTCTGACAACCCAATAGTATCTACACCATAAATATTGGTTGATATCTTAAGTACTTGCTTTACAAAACAAAGGTCCAAGGGAGAGACTTATTTATGAGTTGTTTTTCTCTTCTTTCTTTAATAGTTGAAAAGAAAGAAACCAAGACTTTCGCTTTCTCCTGTTGGAGCCTGAGCCAACAGCCAGCCTGGTGACTAGGCAACTCTCCAGTTACCTGGTGTGAAAGTCCCCAAGCTCCTGGGCTGCAGGTTGTAACTCGCATCTCAGTCCTTTCTCTCAGGATTCTCTCAGAATCTTATTCCCTCCCCTTTACTGCAGAAGTCAAAAGAGAGATTTGTGTGAATAGAAGTCAAAAGGGAGAATAGCCACATGGGTTTTTCTCTACAGTCCCTTGGGAAGCTACTATCATTTTCTTCCAATCAAATGTTTGTAGGACTATTTAACTGGTTTTGGAACTTTAGAGAAAATCCTCACCTCTTCCTTGTTAATCTCCCCTCCTTCAACTCCTTAGGGGCTTTCACCTCTGAAATTCGAGCTTAAATTTAAATACAATGTTCCCATAGAAACTGTGTAGCTTCTGTTTTTTCTGCCTGCTTTGCTTCTGTTTAAAAGCTATTATCATCAGAACATGGCTTTTTAAAAAAAGAGATATAAAATGAAGAATGGATGCCCAGGGACCTTGACACATTGCAAACCCTCATTTGTTTATAACCTGTATGTGGTGAGATGGTTATTAGGAAATTTGTTTAAGATCAGAGTACTCAACTGTGGTGATCAGTCCAGAAGCCATGACAAAAGTTTTTTTCAGCGCTTTTTCAAAGCAAAAGGACAGTAGAAATCAAGCAAACAATTTCAATATAAAAATATATTCTTTGTGACCTTCTTAAAAAAAAAAGAGTGATGGTGAGATGGTGATAGTAGATAGCAATTGTTGTGTGCATTAGTTTTTAAAGAATTTACTCAGTAAAATTAAAAGACTTTTTCTAAGTTGGTTCTCTTTTTTTATTTGTTTGCTTTACTGGGCTGTGAAAATCATAAGACTTAACCTACTGCTTCTCTAGCTGAGAAGGTCATCGTGAGGCCTCAGAGGAAGTGCCTCTAAGAAAGAAATCCCCTTCTTTTAAAGGGCCTCCTGGGCATTTTTTTTATTTATTTAACATTTAAAAATTTTTTTTAATCTTTTTTTATTGAGTTATAATTGACATGTAACATACTAGTTTCAGGTGTATAACAGTGATTCTACATATAACCTTAAAATTGTGGTAAAATATATATTACACAAATTTACCTTTGTAACCAATTTTAGGTGTACAGTTCAGTGGCATTAAGTACATTCACATTGTTGTTTTCATCTTGCCAAACTGGAAATCTGTACACTTTTAAACACTGATTCTCAATTCTCCCACACCCTGGCCCCTGGCAACCACCATTCTATTGTACTTTCTGTCTCTATGAATTTCACTACTCTAAGTACTGATATAAGTGGAATCATACATTGTTTGTTTTTATGTGTCTAGCTTTTTCATTTAGCATAATGTCTTCAAGGTTCATGTTGTGGTATGTGTCAGAGTTACATCTCTCTTTTTTTTGTTTTTTTGTTTAAAGATTTTATTGGGGATTGGGGAAGGTAATGGTGTTGGGGAATTGGGGAAGAGGAACATTGTGTTTTCAGGACCCATCAGCTCCAAGTCAAGTTGTTGTCCTTCAATCTTAGCTGTGGAGGGCGCAAGCTCAGCTCCAAGTCCAGTCACCACTTTCAATCTAG